CCCCCCCCCCCCCCCCCGCGCGGCAAGCCTTTGCAGAAAGAGCCACTCGCAGTCACCAGCCGCTCTTTGCGAGCCACTTGTCAACAAATACCTGGGTCTGGCAGTCCTTTGAGATCCCAGATCACTGGTTCTCCACCCCCCTTTCTGCCCCGATATACCTGAGGGGTAGGACTCGCTCCACTCCCCGCTCCCATTAGGACAAGGCTCCCTGTGGCAGTGCTCGTGGTTGGTGCCGGGACCGGGGCCTTCCCCGAATGCCCTTTGTTTACGTTGCTCTAAGCAACAGACGCTTACTGCTTCTCTGCCCTGCCCTGCCCTGCCCTGCCCTGCCCGGAGGCTCAATCTCTTCAGAGTGATGGAGGTGGGCGCCCCTGGGGGAACCTCCGTGAAAGGAAAGGATTTAAAAAGCAAAATCACTTGCTTTCTTTTATCAGACTCCTTTCTGCAGAGCCACTGGCCCGGCAGGAGGGAGAGCAAAGAGACTGAAGTGAACCGGGAACAGAGATGGCTTTTATTTGCAGCCCCCTCCCCCTTAGGCTTCCTAGGGGTCAAAAGGGATGTGGGTCTAAGGGAAATGACAACCATGGGGGTGAACTCACTAGGAGTCCTAGTGTCTTCTGACTTCCCGACCCCCATCTCTGACTGGCGAGCGGGCCTGGGGGTGACTCAGACCTGAGACCTGTGACTGAGTGGCCACAGTGAATGTTTCCCCATCCGGAGACCGTGTGCCTAAGTTCTGGGAGGGCAGGCCAACGTGGCACACCTTTGGTTGCCCCTTTGGGAATGCCTTCCGGGGGTGGGGGTGGGGTGGGGAGATGGGTGTGTGTGCAGATCTTTGGCCTTAGAAGGTGGATCTGATTTCTGGAAAGTGCCATACAGTTCACTGGATGACGTGAGCGGCAAAGCAAATGTGTAGTCCTGGAGCCTGGAGCCCACTGGCTGCGTACTCGGGGCCCAGAGCAGGAGGCCTTGTGCCACACCCAAGCCCTGCGGTGGCTTTGTGGTGGCCCCTAGGCTCGGCAGGGAGTCTGACACGGGGCCAGGCTTCTGGGAAGAAGGCAGCTTGAGTGCTCGCACATGAAGATGTGCATCATTTCAAGCCCTACACGCGCGGTGGAAAAAGACTTTTGTCCCATACGTTGCCCCCGAGCTCCCTCCTCCCCCATGCCCCCCCGCCCCCAACACACCCCGCTCGTGAGCAGGGCGAACTCACTGCCAGGGCTGAGACCCGTGCGTAACGCACACTGAGTGGCCACAGGGGGCTGGCACAGTGTGTCTAGTGTGCCCCGGTGACCTGAAGGAAGATGGCCCATGATGTGATGCACTCTTAACTGCAGCCAGGGCGATGAGGCAAGGAAAAGAAGTCTTTTCTGCCTCTGATTGGACCCCTCTCCTCACGGTGTCCGGATGGGATGACGGTGTCAATCAAAATACCTCACAATTGCCCCCCCCGCCCCCCAAAACCCAGTTCCTGCTGAAGCTTGTCGTTGGTTTATAATGGAACGTGAAACGGACCACGACAAAACAACGTCAAGAAGCTCCGTGTACTGGGTTTCAAGGACTCTTTTTGATGCCGGAATGACCCCCCCCGTCTGGTGCAGTAATATGTTAGTATGGAATGGTGGTGAGAGCAGGTAGCAGGTTACAAAATGCCTTCACTTAGCAAAGCTGTGCTGGCCCCCAAACCCTGCAGCTCCGTTGTTTGCAAAATCCAGAAATCTAGGCATGTCTCCCTTGGCTGGGGGCACCTACACGCTGGGGCGCTTTATGTCTGTCCTTCAAGCAGGTATTTTGAATCAAAAAGAACGGATGCTCTTAAAAAGTTAGCTCAAGTAGCGGATTGGCTTAGCATTCTTGAGGAGGGTGGTGAATCGGATGTGACAAAGGGACGATCCTGTGGAGCAGTGAGGGGCTCTCTGGAAAGGACACGGAATATGCTAGGGGATGGGGGAGGGACGCTGTCACTGGGTGACCTTGGGCAAGTCCCTTCTCTCTGGGCGCCCCCCCCCCCCCATTGCATCATGTTTGAAGTAGGGACCTGACTGGCCAGTGTCTACTTGGGCAGTGACTCCCAGGCTCTGACTGAGGAGACCCGCCCGACCGACCAGGAAGCGGTGGCAGGACTCAGAGCCCACAGGCGCACGGAAGGCACAGACACACACCAGTCGGGCACCACTGAGCCCCGCCCCCCACCGCCCTCTGCCATGCCTCACGACCTGGACTCCTGCTTCTCCACTGGAGAAGCCCCTTGCATCCCTGGGGAGCTCCTTAAACCGGACTTATTTGGGGCCACCTCACCCAGCCCTACGATATCCCAAGCCCTGGGGGCAGCCCAGGAGTCTGCAGCTTTGGAAAGTTCCCTGGGGCATTCTGCTCCTCACTGATTCCAGTGCCCTGGGCACGCGAGGGCCTACGGGGGCGGGAGAGAGTGGTGGTCTCTGGGCTGCTGCCGGATGAGGGGGGCCCCCCCCCCGAGGGAACACAGCGGCAGCTGGGGAGGCCTGGGGCCCAGATCGTGGCCGGCATGGAGGCACAGCGAGTGCACATCTGGAAAAGCAGCAGGGGTTACAAGGGACACAGGGTGTGTGGGGTGATGCCAAGAGGCAGGGGCCTGAAGGCCATGGTCAGGACTCTGGACTTGACCCTTAAGACCAGAAGAGAGGCTACACTGGCCACGGCGGGGCAGGGGGCAAGCTAGCTGAATGAAGGTGGGAGCAGCGGGCAGGAGGCTGAGAGCTTGTGGCTGGAGCTGAGGCTGGGGCCTGCGGAAGAAAGAAGTAGGGGGCCCTGAGGCTGAGCCCCGGGAGACTTCTGGGGACCGTATGGGAATAGCAGGCAAGCTGTGTGTATGGGGAGCCTCAGGCCGGGGGCAGGGTAGGCACCGGCTGCCGAGGGCGCTTTGGGTGGGGTGCGTGAAAGATTCCTTGGGATGAGCTTGTGGTGATGTGTGACAGGCTGGAGGCAGACACAGGGCAGAGGTGTGGTCTGAAGCCATTCCCCAGGCCCAGGGGCCCGCGGCAGGAGTGCGGGGCCGGGCAGGGCTACGTGTAGGGTAGTGGCCTTCCCGTTGGTGGGACCCCCAGGGAGGAGAAGCAGGGGGGCTGGGGGTCCTGGACAGCACGTGGAGAAAGGTCAGAGGTGGGGCTTTGGGAAGCACGGGAATGGCAGAGAGTGACAGGTGTCACTGGGGGCTAGGGAGGCAGCAGGGAGACTACTCCGGGCAGATACTGGTGACTAGGCCGGGAGGATGGGGGGCAGGGGTGGCTGGACTGGGGACGTGCTTTCGAGGGGGCGGACCTGAACGGATGGGCCATGCTGCTGCGCCAGCTGTGCGGGGAGACAGGAAGAGCGTCTGGGAGCTGAGGGGCTGAAAGGAGGTTGGCTCAGGGACCGTGGTCTTGGCCAAGCCCACCGTGGACATCTTGGCTCAAGGTGTGGCATTCAGAGGCTACAGCTGAGGGCTTGACGCAGGACGGAGGGGACAGCCCGCTTCCGGGCCCTGTAGGTCACACAGACCTTGGTGAGAACTGCGTCTGGGACCCTGCGGGCAGAGGCCAGGCTGCGATGCGATCACGAGTGTGAGGAAAGGATGCGGAGAGACAGAGTACAGAACATTCTGGCAAGAAGGCTAGCTGGCAGGGGTTGGGGCAAAGAGCATGGGGCTGCTCTGGCAGACGGGTCTCCTGAAGCCTTCGAAATTGCCCATGGCTGAGTGGTCATTGTGACTATGTGACTTAGGGATGGAGATGAAGAGAAAGAAGCAAGTCCGGGGCCAGAATCAGCTTCCATAGGGCTCGCGATATAACCCAGTGCACGGTGAGCTCACCAAAGGCTGTTTGTAACGGGCATCTGTCTCCTCCCAACAACGTCACCTCCCTGTCACCAGGCCGCTTCCGGCAAATGAGGCAAGGCCCAGCGGCCGTGCAGACAGCGGGTGGCCTGCGCCCCCTCCACCCGACCCCAAGAGACAGCCGCTGATCACAACACACGTCTTTAGCTGACACTGGCACCCAGCGCGGGGGAGAGCCGCCTGGGCTCTGACGGAAGCGTCAGAGGTGGGCCGTGTCTGCAGCACCGCAGCCAGCAGGCACATCCGGGGATGGCCCTTGCTCGCCACCCTCTCAAGGCGGGATAGCCAGAGAAGCCAAGCGGCACGGCGGCTTACCTGCGTCTGAATCCGATTGAGGCCCCGGAACCAGAGGATCTGGCCTCTGCGGAGCTCCCGCTCGGCATGGTCGATCTCTTCCTCCCCCTCGGCCAGCTCCTCGTCGGTCATCTCATCCTTTCCCGGCCCGTGCCCTGCTTCCTTCAGGCACTTGAGCTGGCTGGTGGGGATGGTGGCGATGACCTGGGGGGCCAGAGGCGAGGGGTAGCAGGCGCAGGTGGCTGTCAGAGCACAGCTGGTCCTTTTGGGGTAGGAGCTCTGCTGGGGCTGGGGAGGGACCCACACCTCCCGCCTCCCTCTGACAGCTAGTGCGTATGCCCCTTGCACTCCAGCGTCATGCACCACTGTTTCCTAAACACCCGTTCTCTGTGGGCAGACTGGGGGATGGGACGTCCTTTTCTGGTCCCCGAGGCTGCAAGACCAGGAGCGGTCCCCGGGGAGCAGGGCGCGGGAGCTGTTGGGGCCAAGGAGCGTTTTCCAGCGAGGGGAGGTCTGGCCTTGGTGCCCCCCCCCCCCGCCCCGCTCCTCAGAGGGGACCGCTAGGCCCCTGGCACATCCTGCCTGACGAGTCGGTCTCAGTTTCCCCGAGGGCCCTGCCGGGCCGTCTGCGCCAACAGCGTGATTCCTGGTGGGGCCCCGGCTTCACGTCTGGGGGGCAGAGACTGAGGATCTGAGGTCAGCCACACGGGAGCCCCGGGCCCACAGGACCGACCCCCACTGAAGTCCCCGGTGCTCAGGGAAGCTTCCGTGGAAGCTCACTCCCGGTCTCTCTCGGACCCTGCCCTACATATGCTTGATCTTGGACTTCCAGCTTCCTGAGATGTGACTAAGACGCAGGGCAAAGTGGGTCCTGCACCAATATTCTAGAACTGCAGAGCAATGCTTTCTGAAGCCTCTTGCGTGCCTGTGGCATGGGCTGCTTCTTCCTCCCTCTGTGCATGCCTTTAACCGTCAAGGGCTACAGGTGTCTGACTTTCACGTTCTAGCATCTCAAAATATTTCTTCATTTTCCTTGACACTTTCTTTCTGCCCCTTGGAGGATTTAGCACGGTGTGGTCTAGCTTCACATCCGTGAGCGTTTTCCAAGCCGCCCAGTTTTAGGGGACGATTTTGGGCTTCTAGCATGGAAAGGGGAGTGCTGGGTGATTTTTGCCGGGGCTTTGTGACATCCCAGACGTGGCCCTTTGCCCTCTCTCTGCTGACAACTGTCGCCTGCGGCCGTGTACCTGAGCTGTGGCCTGGCCCGGGCCTGAGCCCTGCTGTGCTGCCCACCCTGAGCACACCGAACGCTTTCCTAAGCACGGGCTCTGAGGTGCCATGGCCTCCCCCACCCCTGCCCGGCATGGTGTCCGTCCCTGGAAACAGGGAAGGGTCGGGGCTGGGAAAGGTGACGAGGCAGACACTCACCTGTCCCCAGACCAGCTCCCCAACGCCAACGAACAGGCACCAGAGCCACTGCTCCGTGGACAGGGGGCAGCAGCTGAAGGGCTTTCCGCCGAACTGGACGATGACAATCTGCAGGGGTGGGATGGGAGGGAGGCAGGTCAGAGATGGGCCATTGGGTCCTCCCGGCAGATGGGGCTCTGGCCGTGGCTCAGCAGATGAGCCACATCTCCCGCTTCTGTAAACTTGATGCTTTACCGTGTGCCCTGCACGCCCGTGCTGGACACGCCTCATCCCAGGTGCCCCAGTGACATGCCCAGCCAGCCTTGCCTGGGACTCCTGCTGCCTCACTGCCCATTCCTAGGGAAGAACCCTCCTCCTGGGGGTGAGCTGTTTAAATACAGACCAAGCAATCCCGAGCCCAGGCCAGGGCGCACACAAGCAGAGACGGCGCTCCACCCCCCTGAACCCTGAAATTATTCATAGTCGTGAGTCCTCGGCCTGATCGCCTCACCCCAGTTTCTCCCCCAGAAACCACAGTAAAGGCTCCCCCTCTCCCTCTGTCTCCGACCGACCCAGGTGCTTCCCCAGGTGGACCCCTCATGGCGTGGCAGGCCCCCTCCTTTGATCCCTGTGAGGGGCAAACGATCCTGGCCTGTTGTCCTCACTATACGTCACACTTTCTATGAATGCACCCTACTTTTAAAGGCTCAGACTCCCAAAGAGTTGACTGACCAGCCTGTCCACAGCATGGTGGCAGGCAGAGGCCGATGGTCAGCACTGGGGACAGAAAGTATCCCAAGGGAACCTTCTAGAGTTATGATAGTCCCCCGGCAAGGAATCCAGCGCTGGAAATGGGAGTGGAAGACGCAGAGGGAACTATGAGGAGGCTCGTTCTGAGGAAGGCCCTAGAAGGCTCTCTGGAAGCCAGCAGGGGAGCGCAGAGGGCCTGGGGTCACAAGGCATGCCGGTGGGGCCTGGGACAGCGGGAGGGGCGGAACTGGTTCTGGTTCTGTAAACGGGGATGGGGAGGCCGGTGGTAGTGGGCATGGTCCCCCGCTCCTCGTCTGGTGCCAGTATACGGTCGCCCCTGCCCCCCCCCCCCGCCTACCTGAATTGCAAAGGTGCCCAGGACGATGGTGCAGAAGATGGGGTTACTGAAGATGCCGTGGAAGACGTTTCGTTCGCCGTGAATCTTGCGGGCGTTGATCTCGTTGAAAAGCTGCATCATGACGAAGGTGTTGAAGATGATGGTGTAGTGCTCTGACGGTGGAGAGTGCAGGGGTGCGTTCCTCCCGCTGTCGATGTCGAAGAAGAGCTCCCCTGCACGTGAGGGGGCACGTGAGGGGGGCGGAGCCCTGGGTGGAGGCAGCTCCCGGCCAGTGTCGCCTGAGGAGCGCCAGGGGGTCTGCGGCAGGGCCACAGGCAGCCCCACCCTGTGGTGACAGGGACCCGGAGGGAAAGTAACGGGTCTCTCCCCACAACACGCGCTCACCCCTGGAGCAGAGGTCTGGCGCAGAAACCCCGGAAGAAGACACCGTGTGCCTGCCGGGTTGAGTGGGGCTGGGCACAGGGTGGGCCAGCCCTCCTCCGCCCTGTCCCTAAGACCGGGCGGCCAGGTGTAGACCGTCGGGCAGGCCATGAGAGAGAGGCTTCTGCTCCCGAGATATCAGAGAAAGGCCCCCCGAGAGGATCCCCAGTGGTGACATTGTGATCCCCACACACCGTCCCTCCTGCCCCTCAGCAAATACTGTCCTGCAAACCGAGCTTCCAATCTGCTCCCGGGAACGCGCCTGCGCCCTCAAGGCCAGGGTTGGGGACATAACGGAGAGACGCCACAAGCAGACAAAGCAACAAACCCACCCCAAGGAAACTGCTGGACAGAGCCAGAGCCCAGCCGGCCCTGGATACCCAACCCACAGCCTCTTTCTCTCGTGCCCCCTTCTTCTGGTTTCCTGACAGTTACTCCTCTCTGCTCCTCCTCCTCTCCCTCCACCCCTCCTTCCTCCTCCTCCTCCTCCTCCTCCTCCTCTTTCTCTTCCTTCCTCTTCCCTTTCCTTCCTCCTTCTCTCCCCCTTCGCCCTCCTTTCCTCTGCCCCTCAGGCCTCTTCTCTGTCTTCCACTCTCTGCCTCACCTCGACTGCTTCTCCCTCTCCTATCTCTCCTATCCCCCCCCTCTCCCTCCACCTGTCTTTCCCGGTCCCCCTCTTCCCACTGTCTGTGGCACAGTGCTCTGCTCGCCATGCCCTGGAGAAATGGCCATAGGGTGAGTGGATGGATGGGGGTGATCTGGGTCTCGGTGAAGGACAGCAGTTTCTCAGAGGCACAGGGGCCTATGACACCTGCACGGGGCACGCACACAGAGAGACAGCGGGGAGGTGAGCGTGCAGGGGCCCGTGCTGGAAGTTTGGTTCATGGGTGCTCATCTGTCCCTTCCACTGGCAAACAGGGCCCAAGCCTGTGCGGCCAGCGGCAGGGCAGTGTGACCCGGGGCCAACCTACCAACGAACAGCAGCGTGAAGATGATGGTGAGCTGGTAGACCGCGTGGCCCAGGATGTTCTTCATCATGGTGCGGGAGATCAGGGGCTTGTCCCGGCCGTATGGTTTCCGTAGCAGCAGTGACTCAGTGGGTGGCTCTGTCGCCAGGGCCAGAGAGGCAAATGTGTCCATGATCAAATTCACCCACAACATCTGCACAGCTTTGAGAGGAGAGTCCTGTCGAGAGGAGGCAGTCACCCTAACATGGGGCCAGAAAGCCCAGTGGCCCACCACTCCAGTGGGAAGAAACTCAGCCTGGGGGCAACGTCACAGGGATTCGTTCTAGTGAAACGCGGCAGATCTGACCTTCCCGTCAAAATCTAACATCTCCATCCCTGTGGGAAGGTTAGCAGTGGGTTTTCACTGGGCTTTCGGATTTCCTGCTCTGAAAATGCTGCCAGCCTCCCTTCTCTCACCTGGTGCCAGTGACCTAGAAGGTGTGGTCCAAATTGTCAGCAGGAGATTGACAACCCGTGTGTTATCCCAGACCGTGAAAGTGCTCAACTGGTGGGTACTTTCCTGACCTCCCAGAACTGACAGATCCATAGAGACAGAAAGCAGATGGGTGGGTGTCAGGAGCTGGGGGCACGGTGAGGGGGCAATGACTGCTTAGTGGGCACACAGGTGACAAGAAGGTTGTAGAATGAGTTAGAGGTGGTGGTTGGACAACATTGTTAATGCACCAAAGGCCACTGAATTGTGCACTTTCAAATGGTTACTGCGGTGCAGTTTATGTTATGTGGATTTTCTCAATTAAAAAACCTTTCAAAGGGAGACAAGTTCTGGACACTCACTACTGGGGGGAACGAGACTATTGGAAGGGGGAAGAGGCTCCTGCGAAGGTTAAATATGGAGTTCCCATCTCAGCCCGCACTTCCAGTCCTAGATCCACACCTAAGAGAAATGAAGATGTAGGTCCACACACAGACTCGTACAGGTGTGCTCACAGCAGCGTCAGTCACAATCACCAGAAGGTGGAAATGACCCCAATACCCACTGACGGAGGAAGGGACAAACAAATTGTGCTCTCTCCATATGACAGAGCAATATTCTGCCATCAAAAGGAACAAAGTACCGATACTGGCTATAACCTGGATGGACCCTGGAAACATCGTGCTGAATGAAAAGGTGCCAGACATGGAAGACCACATGTTATTTGATTCCCTTTATATGAAATGTCCAGAATAGGCAAGTCTGTAAGGACAGAGAGCAGATCCGTGGTTGCTGGGGAGTGGGGGAGGGGGTGGGGAGTGCCCGCTAATGGGCCCCGGGGTCTTCTCAGGACGATGAAAACGTTCAGAAACTAGACACAGGCAGTGGTCGTGCACACTGTGCGTGTACTGATTGCCACTGAACCGTGTACTCTCAAATGGTGAAGTTTTTGGTATGTGACTTTTATCTCAAAAAAAAAAAAAAAAAATCTGTGGCAAAGAACCCCCTGGCTCTCGCAACTCCCGGGATGGGGTTTCCAGGGCCTGCTCTCTGCACTGGGGTCCGGGTGCAGGAAGCAGGCCGGGCCTGGGAAACCAGCTGCCTCCTGCAGGCCCTGTGCCTTGCGGAAGGGAGAGCCCAGGGCCCTCCCTGGGCACAGCGGTCCCCAGTGCCCACCTGAGTAATGCAGGCCCCCGTGAAGGCCACGATCACGGCCACCACGTTGACTGTCAGCTGGAACTGCAGGAACTTGGAGATGCTGTCGTAGACATTCCGGCCCCACATGACCGCCTTGACGATGCTGGTGAAGTTGTCATCGGTCAGGATGATGTCTGAGGCCTCCTTGGCCACATCAGTCCCCGCAATGCCCTGGGGGGCACACACACAGTGTCCACAGGCCCCTCTTCCCCAGCCCCCTTGACGACCCAGCCTACCCGGGCTTACTGTCTGGCTTCCCTTCCAAATGAGGCTCCCCGCCAGCTGCAGACAGATCTGGTTTCATCCAGTGCGACTTTGTACTAGGAGTGGGCAGGTTGTCTCATGGCCTGGTAAGGGCCTTTGCTCATAAACAGAGAGGGTGTTGCTACCATGGCCACCACCATGGCCTCACGTACGAGGCCCAGCTGCCACCACGTGACCACCAAGCGGTCTTCTGTCCGGTCTTAGCATGCCAGAGCAGCCTGCTGTATAAGGAGCTCCACGACTCCTGGGCGGGGATGCCTTCCGCAGAGCAGGGACGTGTCCTGCTGGCCCGTGGGGGTGTTTGCTGCTCACAGCCCCTGATGCAGGGACAGCTGCACACCCTGTCTGCCACCCTGAGGTCGGGTCCTGCGCAGCTCGGTTTGGCTCTCACAGTGCCCAGGGGCTGTGGCTCGGTGCCCTTCTCTGTCCTGGGCTCTGGGACGGACTGGCCCGTGCCCCTGGCGCCTGCCCACAGTGGGCTACCCTGAATGTGGCAGAGTGAAGGGGGCTCTTACATGGCAGGTGGGGAAAGGGGCTTGCTTGCTTTGTGCCTTCGGTGACCAAGCGCACGCAGCTCGCTGCAGAATGCCGGGGCTGGACCCGGGTGGCGGGGTCAGGGTTTTACAGAAATAACGAGCTCCATACAAGTAACCAGAGAGAAACACAGAGGAAAAGCTCATCTGGGGACTCCAGTGATCGCCCCTGGGGCCGAGTTTCGCTTAGACTGCACTGGGGGTGGCTGAGGCGGGCGCACAGGTGGCAGGCCCCATGTCCCCCACCCCTGAGGCCCCACTGTCACCTCGGGCATCTCCACGCCAAATGCCTTTAAACAACTCACACCTGTATCCCCTGACCAGATGAGCCCTTGGAGGTCCCAGGGGCCAGGACGCGAGAGACAGGCTTCATCACCCTGCAACCTGCCTTAACACTAGCCCGCACCTTTCTGCACGAAGCCAATGTCCTTGAGACACAAGGCCCCGCCTGATGTGGTGAGCCAGGCCGGCACTGGGCGGCTTACCATGGCAAAGCCCACATCTGCCTTTTTGAGGGCTGGCCCGTCGTTGGTGCCGTCCCCGGTCACGGCCACCACCTGCCGCTGCTCGCCGGTGCTGCTGTCGATGATCCCTGGAATGCAGAGTGGGTCCTCGTCTGGGGGCTGTGGGGGCGGCTGGCTGACTCGGGAAACCCTTCGGGATCGCGACCGTGCCAACCACCCCCAATCCCCTGCCCTTTTGTCGCCTTCGGGGTCAAGTCCTTGTGCCTCGACCGGCAGCCCTGCTCCCCTCCTCCTGCCCTGGCCCATCCTCCAGTGAGATGACACAGGGTGGTGTGACTGGGTGGGAGGCAGGTGGTAAAGTTGTCATCGGCCAACTATGAAGTGTCATCGGTCAAGCACTATGTGACTTGGAGAAATGTCTCCCCCTCCTGGGCCTTAGTTTCCCCATCTGTTACAATGAGAGGCCATTCTCTAGTGGTGTCTTCCATTCATGCTGCTAGCCAGGGAAGCAGAGTGAGCTCTGGCATGTCAGCCCTTCGAGGGCGTCTCCATCATTATCCCCATTTTCCTGAGGAGGAAACTGAAGTTTAGGGAGGGCCGTGTCCAGCAGCAACACGTGTGCAGCCCGGGACCCCGCTTCCTAGGCAGGCCCTGGAGCTTGGCTTTGGGAGCCCCGGGGCAAGAACACACGTGGGGACGATGGCCACACCCAGCCAGCATCATGGCACCTCAGGAAGGGGCACGGCAGGGGGCAGCAGGGGTGAGCGGGCTCCCTCACCTTTGACCAGAGTGTGCTTGTCGGTGGGAGACGATCGGGCGAGGACCCTCAGCTTGGGCCACACCTTGTCCAGACGCTCCTGTTCTATCTGGGAGGGGGAAGCACACAGACGCTGCAGAGCCTGGAGCGGGGG